TATGTATATCAACTTCAGAAGTGACCGAGTGGAATTCGTGCCGCTCGATGGATCCAAACACTGGGCTAGCGTGCACTGCTTAGCCAAACTGCCCATAGCCAGCTTGCAGACAGCACGGTACTGTGCACGGCATAGCCCTATACGGCCGCCCTGCAGACACTAGGCTGTGCTGTGTGCACTGCGCAGCCCCACAGCCGGCCTGCAAACACTGGGCTGTGCACTGCATGCACACCACTGGTCTGTGCACAGCCGCCGGTGCACAGCGCTAGCATATTTTCATGAGGCTTGGGATTCAGCGAGGCTGGATTGCATTGCACAAGCATATTCACATTCATATCATTTATTTCACATCGGAAGCTCAACAGTCCAGCTGCACAAATAATATGAGGCCGATGGAGGGAGATGGTGATTGTCACTGTCTACGGGCCAACAAGACAAAAGAGTTAAAAAATCTATTTTTAATGAAAAAAGGGAGGAGTACTATTGAGTAGTAAACATTCTAGTAAAGAGAAGAAGAAAGGAAAGAAAAAAATTATGCTGAACCTTTGCAAATAGCTGGTGACAGGCTAAACGTTCCCGATATTGTCAAACAATATTTCACGATATCGGTCAAAACAAACTGAGTCATCCGATATAAGCTAGCACTTCTATTCATGAGGCCTGGTTTCATTCCGGCCGAATGGGTTATGTTCATTGCACACCACTGGCGACTGTTGAGTTTAGCATCAACTGGTAAGTTGTTATTCAATTCTGGGGGCAAACTGATGATTGTTCTGCAATCACGTAGTGCTAGGAATTAGGAGCAACCGCCGATCTCATCATCATCATTATGTCACCATTATGTTACATTGTAAATTGCACAAGCCTCTACTCAATTTGAAACTCACTAACATGCACTTAATCTAAGTCAGGCAGCATAGCCATGGCTTGGTAAAATTGGAATCGTGTACAGATATCTAGACTATGCATCATTTGAAAATAGATGGGGCTATGGGGAGGGGGGGGGGGGTCTAGAATGGCACAAGTCACATGACAGCAGCCGCAACTAAGAACACTGAGAGTGTAAGCAGCGCTATCATGGGAGAGAGGGCGGACGCCGAGCCGTAGCATGCTGTCACACCAGCCGGCAGCTCGGCCTTGGCAACTATGCTGAACGTGTAGCCTTCCTCAAACAGTGGTGGCTGCAGAGAAGAAATAAAGAGAGACGTGCAGGGTGCACATGAGGACAAACTCAACCCATGGGCTGAACTATTTTATTGTTTGTTTCTGTTTCGTTTGGATTATGGAGACGCATTGGCATGGCACAGGCAAATGCGCCTACATGTACAGCTGATATCGATGAGAAATAGATTCTCAAATTCAGAGAACACACAAGAGCAGTAGGCACGACGGTACCCTGCCAAAGTTATCCAACATTATTTCTACTGAATCAAACAACTAGCTCTGCTTTTCTAATAAATCAGTAAGCTATGCACATGTACACGATCAAACTAGAACGTCTCCGCCAGAAAGTCAGTTTCTGCCTCTACCCAAGAAGTTCAGAGTGCTACGGGAGAGCGAGATACCACTCATTGACAACTGTATGCTGTGCAGTCTAGGGTACGCACTGATGTGCGCCAGTCTGTACAAGTGCACGCTGACACAGATAGTTCACGGTGGAGCTGTGATAAGACGTATGGAGCAGCATATCCATGCTCGGCACAATGTCCGTACGACGCAAGTACGTACTAGGCGAATACACCGTATCCCTGTGTTTGCTGTCCTCAATATGTGTTTCTGAAGCAGCGCAACATCCTCGAGTTTGGGGAGATATAAAAATTGATATTGAGTACTGCCAGTGGTAGTAACGTTACATGTACAGTCAACCTCGCAACTAACAACACTATCTTCAGACCAAGCAACCACTTGACTGCATAACTTTAACTAGGGAACAACAAATCGCGAATAACAACACCTTTCTCATGGCCGATCGAAGGTCGTTATTCGCAAGTTTGACTACAGTCCATTCAGAAAAAGATGGACTTCTAGCTTTTGGCCATAAATGGGTCAAACTTTGAGTTTTTTTAGAATTTTTTTCTGCAATCCCCTATGGAATCCTCTTCCAATTATGTTTCTGAAGTTTTTTTGTCCAAAAAGCAAGCCATAACAAGAATAGAATTTCGGCCAGGTTTTGCCCCAACAGCACTGAATTGGGAAAAACCATAAAAATCCAGGCCGTTTGACCCCGCCTGCAAACGTGCATTGTGCGGTTCGAACCCCAGTTCAGGTACCCTTTTTGGACCCTTTTTCAAATTTCAAATTTCGCAGCACTGCACTGTGTACGATGAAATCACGAAAAATCGCCAAATACGGGAGCTCGCCAGAGCCAGAGCCCATCTTTTTATGAATGGACTGTATAGGTGAAAACTTCTTCACCTTGGCGCATGACTTACCCCAAGGTTAGCAAAGTTGAGCAGTTCCGACACGGTCCGTACAATGTCCACGCCGGCATCACTGGAGGCATTGGGCGCTGGTAGGATGAGGTCGTCGCCGCATTGGTAGCGATCTAGGAGACACAGTAGATGTCTATGGATTAGACCCGACCCGACCCGGTTCACCCACTCATAAGCTGCTCTTGTATTGGAACACCTAACCATTTGGGTGTATTATTTTTTAGATTGGAGCAGATGATTGATTAGCACAATGTGTCCGCTACAGGATTTACCAAGCGCTTGGATATGTCTCAACTCTATATATGTACGTAGTGTGGCGGCTGCATGAGCTCAGATACAGGTGCACTACACGACACTCCTAGTCCAGCAACTCTTTCAAACCGGGCACGTTTCTGGGACCTTTTTGATCCGAGTATCCTATTTCCTATACATGTATGTCTAATCCAAGTGTGCACGTACGTGAAGCGTTCTGCAATTCTACGTTTCACACGACTCGTCGAGATCACGGGTGTAGTGCTCTGAGCTACGCATAATTTCCGAGTCACGCCGCTCTTCTGTCCAGACCTGCCCAGATAAGAAATGGTCAACCGCATGGTGTGTGTGTGTGTGTGTGTGTGTGTGTGTGTGTGTGTGTGCGTGTGTGTGTGTGTGTGTGTGTGTGTGTGTGTGTGTGTGCATGTGAAGCCCCATAAGTTTAACACGTTTCCGATGATGTTCATTGGTGATAGGATGTGAGGTTGTTACAAAGACAACATGCCCAGGAAAGAGGAGTGAGGAGAGGGATTGGATGAATAGATTTGGCGGAGGAAGCAGTGGGAAGGTACTCAGCAGCGGTCCAGATTAAAGCACTGCAGGTCTTCTAAATGGCAGGCTCGCGTGCGACTATGGCCAGTATGGGGATAGGATAATGTTGTTGTTCTACTGTATTTTAAATCTCTACCCCAGTTCCCAATATCCAATTCACTAATCGTGATCTCCAGTTTTCACACCATTGCACTGCTCTGAGCCACCATAATTATAGCAAGTCACTTTAGTTATACTAGGCTTTAGCTACTGTCGAACACAGACTTGCTCAACAAGAATTGTTTCACGTGCTCACCTCTGCCTGGACATGCTCCAGCTGCGTATAGGCCACACTGGTCCAGATTCTGTATGACATTGTGCGCAGGCACAAACAGGAACCGTCAGCACACGAATGAGTCAGAAATGTGCCGTTACTATTTACACAAATACACACACACACACACACATCGAAAATCTACAGTGCCGCTCAATGAAATCCGATGGCGTGCATGGGTCAAGTACACACCGGGTGCTGTGCAGCCCTAGCCCTGTCAACACTGGGCTGTGTGCTGGTGCACACCGGCATCAGGTTTCATTGAACAGTTTACTGTAGAAAGAAAATGCCAGTGTGCAAGTGTACATACCCCTGGCGTGGCCCAGCACTTGAATGTCCTTAAGTCCAAAAAATCTGCAACTCCGAAAACTGTACTTTTGTTGCATCATAATGAATGTCTCCCTCTTTGTTAAGCCTAGTTCACATTCGACGCAACGCTGACGGTACGAGACGTAAAGGCCAGTCAGGACGGGACGTCTGGGGTGAGCTGTAAAATGTTGTACGATTCGTACGACACGACATGCAGCAGTCGTTGCATCGTTCAACAGCGAACGGCGCGCGCGGCTCCGCGCGAGTTATGAGGCACGGTCCGTGACGAGATGACTTTCGGACCTAATTTCTTGTTTTTCAGGACTTCTTTTCAATTACTTACCCCTGAATGAAGCGGAATCAAGTCCACAATACCAGTTTTTCATGAAGACCAAAAACGTAGCCATGAAAGTCATGCCATTCAAATAATAGCAACAGGAAATGGCCTGAACTCCATACTCACGTATTTGGTGAAGAGCTCAGAGCCGGTGCCAAACTTGTCATCAGCCCATTCTTTGCAGATATACACTGTGCTATTCACCAGAAACTGCAAACAAAACACAAAAACAATATCATCGGCGGGTGGATTTAGTATGGGTGCAATTAAATGGATTCTGACAACCTCATCAAACCCCCCCCCCCAACCGCTCACCATTCATAGATGCAGGTTGCGAGTAAAACTGGCGAGTCTCCTTTATTGAAGTAAATCTGATAACATACTGGTCAAGATCCCAGACTACGATACCCACCAACAGTAGTACTGTACTAGTCTCACCTGTGGCTGATTGGGATCGCAGTTCAGGCAGTAGAACTCGGCCATCGGATGGTTGCGGACATTGCCCCGCACTCGGCAGCTAGAGCCAACGTCTGCCAGCGGCACAGCAGAAACACCACATAACGTTACCACAGTCCAAATCATACATGACAACACAACCATGTACATCTAGAGCACCATGGCCCAATCGTAAGCCCATAGCGCAATGACGTAGTTTGTAGCATAAACACCCCATGCAGCCACCTGGGCATGATTGAGCGGAGTGTTTGACAGTGCATTGCCGATCCCAGTGTACTCACATGCATTACTCATATCTTCCGTATTTGGCAAGGCGCAGCGGTCTTATGGATACTGGTCCTGCATTAATTAATAAGTCTACGCTACGTCCCTTATCTCGTAGGGATTGGGCACTCTTTCTGGTTTTGCGTCCAGGCTATCTGCATCAGTCCAAAGCTCGCAGTGAATTTCGCACTACGACAAAGACGCTTGGTTCTGCTCAAAACATTCTGTACTTCACAGGTCTTCATTGAAATTGGTTCTGCCAGTTGCTCTAAGCTCAGTCCGCTGATGAGGAATTCTAGATGGTTGGAGCATATAGCTGTCTGGAGATTTTACGCACTACATGACTACAAGAAGTGTTCAAATTGAAGAAGTACATTTAAACAGACAGTTATTCATACTCAAACATGAACTGCAGTCAAGAACATGCCCGTGTGCAGCTATAAACTCATGCATGCAGTGAGCGCATTCAACATGCAGCGGCAGCGGCATACAACCCACTGCCAGCCCAGTGCAGCTTGCAAACTCACTGACTAGGTTTCCAAACATCTCCTCGTTCTCAGCGTCCAGTGCGGGCGTGCAGCACGCATTGTCGGAAAATCGACGGCAGAAGACCAAACCCAACGTCTGAAACAGACACACAGACGTGCACAGAACACATTGGCTTCGGTGCAAAATTCATGGATAACAGTGCTTGAAATAGACAATTATAGTGTCTGGCCGTAACTTCCCACAGCCCAGTCTAGTCTGACGCATACTGCACTCAGCTCAGGCGAGCGATACTAAATGTTCTGTGCCTTGCTAATTTACAGCACTATGTGTCGCACAGAGCACCAGCAAAAGCCACTGCCTCCCGTACTATGCCGGGGAATAGGCACTCCCTGGAGGACTGAGGTCTGTGAGGATGCAGCACTCTCTGGCGGCCGGCAGCTACAGATCGAGCACATGCTGACACGTGTAGTAGTGTCCGTTTTAGTTCATGCGGACACCCCGTACGGCGAGTATAACTCTGGGGAAAGGGAAGTGGTTGTAAGTAGTACACATAGAAAACAATGCCAATCGGTTGGAGAACGCCTATTCCCTTCAAAGACCTCAGTGACATGTACAAGACTGTAATGGCAGTTGTCTGACAGACTACACGTACTGCCGTGGACATGGAAATCCAGTCGAATGACCGGGGCCGATGCCCTCAGTGCGTACAGAACATTGCATGCAGTGCACATGTTGATCCGATGCGACCAGCGCGCTGCAGCGCATACATGAATGTGTGAACCGTATGCTTACTCACGGCTGCATGGCCAGCGTCCTGGGGCCGCTAGACATGCAACCAGATTTGCATGTCCACGACAGTAGTAACAGTACAATCCTGTACAGTCATGTAAGGTTACCATGGTTACCGCACTGTGCAGAGTGATGACCTTTCTGTGTCTAAAGAACCTTAGGTGGAAGGCTCGGTCGCCAAGTGAGAGGATTTTTTTATAACACACACACGCCTCACCACACATTATACACACACGCACGCACACACACACACACACACACACACACACACACACACACATGTGCACGCGCACACACACACATGCCAACACGCATGTACTGGACACACACCACGCACACACACACATACACCATGTACCCACACACACACACACACACACACACACACGCACGCATGCACACACACACACACACACACACACACATACACACGCATACACACGCACACACACACGCACACACACACACGCACGCACGCACACACACGCACACACACGCACACTGGCAATGACTACTGTAGTCAGGCCAGTTCACATTGTGGTTTTGTTACAGAAAAGTTGTTCTCACCTTTCGTGGTGGGAGACCAGTTCCTACACACACTTGGCCCAATACATTTTTGAACAAAATACTCCACACGCATGCTGCTACAAAGGCCGAGGTGGCTGATAGATGTGCCAACATGACTGAAGTGTGGATGGGTTCTGTAGCTGCTAGGCGTTGAAAATCACGCAGCCCCGCTGCACGGAATAATCGGCTTATGAATATGAGGAGTGAGCGAGTGCCACACGGCTTGGCGGTTGACGCTGCTCGTACAGGCCGCTCAGCTAGAAACAGCCAGATACAGTAGGTAGACGCCTATCTCCAGTGTAATTCTGATCCAGTGGCGGTGACAATGGACTCCGTGCTGCAGCAATGTGCAGGACTACTCCTGTTCACAATATTGTCCACGCTGAGCGCTGGGGGAGTTACTAATACTAGTATTGTACTAGTTCAGTAGTTGTGCTTGACCGGCGCACTACACGGGCGCCTCTCACTCTCAGTACAGACTTCAGTTCAGTTCAGTCGTAGCGTCGCTACGGCCAAGCAGAGGCTACGGAGCAGGACACCTGAATTGCCGGATCAAGAACCACTTGTGCAGGAAAAGGCTGCCACCGGAGTCTAATCGTTGGGCTTCTTTCGGATCCTTCTATCTCACTCGCGTATTTCGAAATTTTAGTAAGTCACTGACTGTATAGACTGTGCTGCGTGCATGCGGATCGATGGCTTGAGGGAATTATTTTGTTTGTGGGCCATGGGGTGTGTAATATTTTGCAGCATGCACCGACCGACCGTATCGTGCATGCATACTGCGCGTTGTGCGTTGAGCGCTCTGACTGGACTGTCTAGCTAGCAAGTAGCACTGACATGATGTCTGCTGAGAGCACGTGCTGCATGCTCTGTGAGTGCAAGACGCTGTATGTCTTCTACGTGACCATGGTGACTCTATCATTATGATCTAGGCTTAGACTTACAGGGATTACAAGTACTTGAAGTAGTCGTACTAAGTAAAAGCTACGACTCCCTGGTGTAGAGTTTTGTAGCCCGCGAAAAATGAGCATGGCGGTGGAGCTCGGAATCCGGAAGGCTTTCGCTTTCATGCTTCCTATCCCTCGGCCTGGTCTGGTGCAGTGGTGGAAGAGATGTACCATGACATTGGCATGGTGCGGCATGTGATGATGTGGCGCTGCACTTGCAGACCAGTAATCAGGTAATCATTCATGGTGATCATGGCAATGGCAGTATGAAGACAAGAGCTGGCATTCCGCTTCCTTCGCGGATGATCGTGCGGTTGTCGTTGACGTGCGGTTGTCGTTGACGTGTTTTCAGCGAAGCCCTGCTGCGCCCTCCCCTCATATGACCTGTCAAGTGTCAGTCAGTTCGGATACACTTCACGAGGCCCTGGTGTCTGTAAAATCGCCATGATCACTTGGCCGACGTGCACAGACTCAGTCAGTCGTTACTTGCATGCCGCTTAGCTGGAAGCCATTCATTTGCCTTTGTCTTACAACAGCAACTGCAGGCTCTGAACGAGGTTACCGGGAACACAGGACTTCTGAACTATTACATGTACTACCGACGGTATTTCCTCGATTAATGGACCGTGCTCGAATAACAGACCATGCTCAAATACTAGTAGACCCTCCTAGAGGCCTCACGGAAAAATAGTAGACCATGCCCGAATAAGAGACCTGGTCTCTTATTTTGAGTTCATCGCTTTGTGCATGCGCACTAAGAAAGCACGTGGTGGATCAAAAAAGGACGCGATTTTAGGTTGCGCAACTACAATTTTTGTAGTGGCTAGTGCTTTCTTTAATTGTTTGAGCACGGTCCACTATATTTTCATCCGCATAGAACTATTTTTTGATTTTTATTTCACGGATCCTCCAGAGGCAATATCGGACCATCGGCATAGAATTTCTATAATTATTATGACGTGTTAAAAATCCAACATTTCCAGCGATGTGCCGATGAAAATATAGTGGACCATGCTCAAATAATGGACCATGCCCAAATAAGAGACCAGGGGTCCAACCCTCTTCAAGAAACAAAAGACCGGGTCTATTAATCGAGGAAATACGGTAGTAACCTGCAGGGCTTGGCGATAGGCCCAGACAGATTCTGCTCCGCTCGCCTCGATATTTTGCCGCAAAATGTTGCTGCGAAATCTTCGATATTTTGCCGAGCCTGGCACAAGAATCTCGATATTTTGCTCCATTTTGCTCCGGAAAAACGTGTATTTTATCCAATGCCCGTACAATCCCGTACGACTTTTCATAAAATCGCAGGGTCGGTTTCTCAACACGGATTTCCACGCACGTGTCCCTTAGTTCTTCCTAAACCATGTGGATCCACAGTGAATCCCAGTGATATTTCGGTCACATGATCTCGTCCTGGGCACTGTATCCTGCCGAACCAAGGAAATCCAAGTATCAGGCATCGATTCTACCCAACATCTCGATTATTTTGCTCTGATTTTGCCGGCAATTTCCGCTCTTTAAATTCTTCGATATTTTGCCGAAAGAATTGCCGGCAGGATCTGTCTGGGCCTACTTGGCGAGCAGCGAAACGGCTAAAGTCAAAGTAAAGAGGGAATGGAGCGGAGTGTAAAATTGTTTACATTTTTTGTATTCACTGCTTCCATGGCGTGGTCTGGCAGCTCCAGTCATGTCAGTCCAGTCCATGGGCAAATAATAATTATTATGTCATGCTTGTTGTGTTGTGCGTTGCCTTGCAGCGCTGGCCGTCAACGACTCCCTGACGTGATATGAACATTACCATGATGGCATGAATACAGTCATGAGATCTCGAGATGACTGTCTTTGACGCGTCTTTGAAGTAGTATTTTAGTACAAAATAGTAGTTTGATGAGCAGACGCTTCGACGCGACGCGCGCACGCCGCGCAGCCGCTAGCCTGCCATCAATCATGCTACCATATCAATGATTAGATGGCGAAGGCAGGTCTTCGCCCAAGCGCCAAGCGGCCCTAGCTAGCTAGCCTATAGCCCTAGCCAGGCCTAGGCTATACTGGCTATCCTAGGCCTGGCCAGTATAAATACGGATGATAGCAGTTAGTAGGAGAGGGGTCGGCTGAAGATTCACCATTATCACAGAACTCGCACAATGAAAGTCTCCCTGAGTGTTACCTACAGGGTGTGTAGGTAGGACATGGTGCAGTGGGTTAACAGGGGTTCCGAACACCCTGCCATGGCCAGAGCCTACTTGCCTCCGGCTCCCATGCAGCAGCCGTATGGGTTGCTGCACTTTTTTCCCCCCTTTTCCAGGAACACCTCTGGCTCTGTGGCTGTCGTTTAGGCTGAGAGGCAGTGCGTGCACGCGATTTACAGTCAGTCCTAGTATTTACATGTAAGGCCAAACTAAAGAAGGTGTGTGGTTCGACTAACATGGACATTTTTTTTACGGGCGGGCGGGCGGATTTGATTTTTTTTTAATATATATTTTTAGTACATGTAAATACACTGTACTGCCTTTAGACACCCAGTACATCGGCATTATTATTTATTACGCAGTGTTATGCCATACATCTTTACTTATAAAAGAGAGGCACCTAGTACCTGTGACGTGTGTCTAGTACGTCTGTGTGTGTGTCACGCTCCTTATAAAGAAGAGGCACCTGTGACGTGTGTTTTTGTGTCACGCTGAAGCGCTGCGGAGCAGCGCTGCCCTGATCACGCGAAGCGTGCGAACAGTGCTAGTGACTGTGTAGCACAGTGTAGCTAGCGGCCGCAGAAGCACTGAGCACGCGAAGCGTGCGAATCGTGTAGCTAGCGGAAGCAGCCACAGCACTGAGCACGCGAAGCGTTCGAATCGTGTAGCCACCACCACGTGCTGAGCACGCGAAGCGTGCGAACAGTGTAGGTACGTAGACCCGGGTGCTCGAATCAGAAACGATTTGACAGGTGTGCAATTTCTCATCTGTAAATCTCAACAATGTCAGAATATACTTTTGGAGAGGCGATGGAACAGGGAAGAGAGTCTGGCTTGACCCACCCAGCAGGAATTCAGAACATGGCAGGGCCTTCTCTAGACATTCAACACAGCTCGGTCAGAGTGTACCTGGCGCATGCAGGCCAGCCGGGTCAAGCCGGGTCAAATCATCCGGCAGAAAAACAAACAAAAAGCCTGCTCAAAACTTTCAACTGTGTCAAAAGCTATAGCCAAAGTTACGCTTTTGACTGCCTGCCCCATCGACTTTCAATGTCCTGACTTCCTGCTCGCCGCTGGCCAGATCGCGCTCGAACCAGTTGGCCCCAGTTGACCCTAGCTAGGCCCCGGCCCGGTGTAATATGCCCGAAACTTTGCCGAAAATGCTTTTGGGAAATTCTCGTAAACCTTGCCGAAAATGCTCCCAAACCTTGCCGAAAATGCTCGGAAAATGCTCACTTTTTTGTCATCCTCAGCACACGCCGTCAAAACCAGGGAGTAAGAAAATACTCAATAAGAGACTTGCTCGAGTCTGCCATGGTAAACAATTCATAAACTACATGTACTCAACAAGAAGCTAACCCACGGAATGCGGAAGTAACGTTCTTGTTTGGGAAGTTTTTCTTCTCTCAATTTTGATACACAACGGCCAAGTGCTCCGTTTCCCCCAAAATGCTGCATCACGAGCCCAAAGTGCTGGGTTCGCGGATGGGGCTGTTAAGTGATGACGTCACAGTTCCTTCGATACGCATAGCAACGATCCCACTGGGGACAAACAAAAGTAGCGTCGTCTCCACCGAACCAGTTGTCAGTGGCAACATATAGGAATCGTGTACATTTCTTCGTTTCTTCTTTGCTGTTTTCAGTGAGTGTTTTGTTTTCTCTTTGTCCTTGATCTCGACGGCGTTGTCGTGCTCATTACCTTACTGAGACGTCTCTTGTGACTGTAGCCAGTGTCACGGAGGATTTTATTGGCGTGACGAGGTAGATCGCCGAGATCGAGCGTGAAAAACGCTCTGCATTAGTAGCTCCTGTAGAATGTCTTCTGGGATGGCGTATCCATGGTCAACAAAGCCAAGGTGCAAGACAGCATAAGAGATCGTGTAAACGATGTGAACTCCAAAAGGTAAGCTCCTGAACAAGTGGAAAGATATGTGTATTTACAAACTCTCTCTTCATCCATCGATTGCCGCTATGCATTGCATTTTGTCTTCACAGATAATCTGGACAAATAAATTATATTGTAACTGGAGAGTGCAATCGTGCTTGGGACCCATCCCAATGTCATCACATGGCTGTGGTGACTAGTGTATACCTGGGAGAATTTTTCCTCAACTGAGACGGAGTGTAGATGGATGGATTATGAGAAATGCGAAGATGTGGAGTAAGTTGTGTCGAAGAAATGTGTAATAAAATAAAATTTACTTTACACTCAAACATACACTGTACATGTACATGTAACATCATGATAATGATTCCATCTTCATTATCTCCGCAACAGGTACGCCATACGCACCGAATACATGGTGTGTGTGCACGTGCGCGCTTGCGTGCGCGCGTACATGCACACACTCTCATGCGTGGCCGAGTTGGCCGGATGAACAGACCACGCATTTGCACGAGGTGTCCGTCATGTCATTGGAGTGCTGTACTTTATGACTCAGGGGCGTAGGAGGGGTTTTGGAAGTGGTACGACCGAAGGTCGGTGCGGCGGAAGGCCGTGTTGGAGGGGGTCCGGCCCCCCCCCCCCCGGAAAATTTTGTAAAAAAGACACAAAATCCTGCGTTCTGGGAACTTCTGGCGCAGTGTGCAGTCGAGTCGAGTACAGTACTCAGTACGACTGCAGATGCATAACAGATCTACGAGTCTAGAAAAAGGTCTGATGCGCATATGCAAATATCGATGGATCCTGATTTTTTATTACGGTTTTGCACGTTCCAGACGGACCACACTTTTCGAAAAGTGGTGCGGCCATGGTCGTACCAGTCGTAGCGGGTGCTACGCCCCTGTGACTTTATTCCAAAATAGTATGTCGTGCCCCTGTCTAATGGAGTTTGTGTCTATGCTCAGCGGGTATCGGGCCATGACGCCACACTGCAGTCAGAGCTGGAATTAAAATAGCACTTCATGGATTATTTTAACTAATTTCCTTTGCGTTTACTTTGTTGAGCCCGTGGTTTCATTTCTGTGTTCTGTTATGATTGGCCTCTGGAAATAATCGGAGTGGATGTCATTTTTTGTCATATGTGTGTGCCTTGTGCAACAGGTTCAAGGCTAGATGCACTTCACATTCGGCGTGGGATCTCGGCGTCTCGGACCTGATAACGTTTTGGTTGGATGGGTGATCAAGGATGATACTACTCGGCACACCAATGTACATGTACATGTCAATGTAGTTTTTACTTTTTCAGAGCTGCACTATTTACGTCTTGATGCTTACTTCGGTGCCAGTGTCGTGTCCGTGTGTTGCTACAATGTCATTATCTGTATTGTATTCCGTCTGCTTATACATGTGTCTTTATGAAGTGTTTGCCATGGCGGCGATGTGTCTTGTCGATCAATAGTGTTGTGAAACCTATCACTATTCATGCTTTGCTGGCTACTTGCTCGCTCCGTGCCGTGCACGCTACTAGGTCTTGTAGTATATAGCATCGATCGCTGGTTGTTGTTGTTCTTGTTGCTTCTCTGTTGTTTGAGCTTGGTCCTAGAGTGAAGCTTTGGTCTTCTTGTGTGTTGAGGGTGAGGAATGGGTATCTGGACTCCTGGTATATTTCCGTAAAGAACCTGGAATTGTAGAATCCTGAGAGTATGTCTGGCCCACTCCCCGGTCATGACATTAGCGTGTTTCCCCCGGATTATTTCTATCATCCTGCGTGTTCTTGGGCTGAGCGAGCACATGCACGAGTGTGCAGCTATAACCCTGTGTATCTTTGGTTACACTTTGTTCTGCAATGCATGTACCTTGTAACAGTCTGTGCTTGCACTGCTTTGTGTGGCCTGCGTATTTCAAGACTATTCAGTGCATCAGACCCAGGTTGGTTTGGTTGCCGGATGATCTCTTGTTGCGTCGCTCTGTGTTTTGTATTAATCAATTTTTGGGCTTGAGAATTGAGCTGGTGTGTGGTTCCCAATATGAAAACATCATGCTGGTGCTCTGTGTTTCGATTATCGACTGTCCGAGCAGTCACGATTCATTACCAGAACGGTCAATACTGTAGTCTCTTCACGTGTTTGTGTTTTCGCCGGGGGAATTAGCGGTGACATTGCACATAGAACGGCAGTGTTGCATCACTGGACGACCCTGCCTTTGCATCTGACTTCATTTCCCCAGGATCTGGTGCAGATACATCAGACAGTCACTTCCTGTAAACACGCAAACAGCAAAAGAAGAGATCCCGCAAATCAGGAAAAACCATTGCGGAAAATATCGAGTAGATCATACACCATTCAATAATCTGGAGTAATTACAGTGAGACAAACACTTCAAACAGTGCTCTCTCTCTCTCTCTCTCCATCCTTCCAAAATACCCTGTAACAATTCCCTGGAATTATTTTATTTTATATTCTCAGGACATCATTCTGAACAACTTCTTCCATGGGTCTTCAATCACCACGGAGGGCGAGAATACAGCTAAGTCATGCAGTCTACGGGAGGTGCGGGCTGTCATGGATATAGAGGCTGATATTGTGCCAGCGTGAGGGCAGAGACAGAAAGAAGACACTGATTTCTTGAACAACTCACCTACATATAATCGAATCCACAGGAAGCGCTCGTACTTTGATCCATCAGGAGGCGAAGAATCTTCAAAGCACTCTCAAACACGGAGTTTTACAGTGGGCAGCCAATTTCACAGCCATTATGAAGGCCCTCGACGACTACAGGAGATTTGTAGAGGAAAGAACAAGGAGTAAAGAGCGACAACAATCGCTTGACGAAAAAGCAAAGAAAAACTGTTCTCTCTCCAGTCATTTAGATGCTGTTGCCCTTCACAACTGGTTCCATCCAGAGGACGCGACTTTTGTTTGTCCCCAGTGGCAGTGCTCTCCGTTGCTATGCGTATCGAAGGGGCCGTGACGTCACACTTAACAGCCCCATTGTACCGAAAATGCTCAAAAAAAATGCCGGCATATTGCACGGGGGCCTAGCCGGCCTAGCCGAGTTTCTGTCGCTTTTGTACGGTTGCGCTAGATTTGCATGCAACAGATGGGGTCCGCGAGTTGTAAAATACCGGTATTTTAGGAATCCTTTGTGAGTAAGTAAGTAATAGTTTGAGACATTTTTCAGCCGGGTCAGACTGGACCCGGTGTTATCTGTTCAGCCAGG